CCCCCCCCATCTCTCTTTCAAAAACCCTATACGTACCTTTTTCTTGAAGTCTTCTAGCTGGTCTGGTGGCATCACTGCAGCTTCCCCTCATTCCTCCAGTGTTGGCTGGGGTGGGCAATTCCTCTAGAACTAAGTGGCGCTCATGCCTGTGCTGTAAGTCTAATCTGCATGCTGAAAGTCCGTTAACCCATCGCACTCCTGACCGCTTGGTTGCTTAGGTGTAGTGGGTGAAGCGGTGACAAACTGATGGCGCTGCAACAGTTATATGGATATAGGCCTCTGGTACTCCAAGATAACCAATAATAATTTTTTTTGGAAGCATGTGCAAGTAAGCGACTTTTTGGGGTCAAATAGAAACCCCTTCATCAGGCAAAACCATGTCATGACATGGTTTTACCTCGTGAAGAGGATCCTGCGTGACCCCAAAACGCCGCTCTTATGTAATGCTTCAATAAAGACGTATTCTTGGTAATCTTGGAGAGTGCCGGTGTCCTGTAGCCATATGTTCTAGTCTTAATGCTGACTCACCCCTGTGTGACATGTAACTGACAGGCTGGGGTCACAAGAAATGGGCAGAATGCCACCAGTGTCGTCCTGCCTAAAGAGGACATCCAGAGCTGGACAGAGCGGGAAGTTTGGGACAGTGCGAAAGCATGAAGAGGGTAAGTAGAACTTGAGAATATCATTCCTAATTCACAAAGTGGGGGTCCATAGGAAATTAAGAAAAAGTTGAATGTATTCTCACTTGTCCTGTAAGAGTCTTATTTGGCCACACCCAATCAATGTTGTAATGTTACAGGCATCTTCACTGACCAATGGGAAGCCTCAGAAGATGAGGGTCAAGATTATTCTGACATGCAGTTACACTAAAGTTAATCCTTGTTGTTGTATCGTCTTCATCATATGCTGAACTCTACTAGGGAAGTCAGAAACGGAAAAAGATCTGGGGGGTCATAGTAGACCACAGATTGAATAACAGCTTGCAATGCCAGGCTGCAGTAAGCAAAGCAAGCAGAGTTATGTCTTGTATTAAAAAGGGAATGTACTGTAGAGACAAATCTATCATTTTGCCACTTTATAAATCGCTGGTTCGGCCTCATCTGGAGTATGCGGCCTAGTTTTGGTCACCAATCCACAGAAAGGATGTCCTTGAGTTGGAAAAAGTCCAGCGGAGGGCAACCAAACTAATTAAGGGGATGGAGGACCAAACCTATGAGACAAGGTTACTAAATTTAAACATGTTCACGCTGGAAGTGAGGAGATTAAGAGGGGACATGATTTTGATGTACAAGATGTTCAATGGTGATAGCAACATCAGCAATAAGCTTTTTACGGTAAACTCAAAAAAAAAGACCAGAGACCACCACCTAAAATTGGTGGAGAAAAGATTTCAGCACAAGGGGCTTAGGGGGTTCTTCTCATTTAGAGCGGTTAGGGTCTGGAACTCGCTGCCGCAAGCAGTGATTTCATCGGTGAGTGTGGAATCGTTCAAAAAAACGTTTGGACGATGTCCTCAGAGACCGTAACATACAGGGGTACAGGTACACTTAAGGTGGACTCCAACACATGTAGAAGCACATGCATACACGCAATAGGTTGGACTTGATGGACCTGTGTCATTATTCAACCTCAAATACTATGCAACCATGTAACTATGAACTTCAAGCCCTTGAGACAGTTTTTTTTTTTTCTGTAAAATTTATTATGGAAATCGGGAAGTGTTCTGAGGGCTGGAGTTGGGTTTATTTTTATTTAACGGCTAAAACCTGCTCAGCCTATCATGAGAGGTTAAATTAATGTTTTACTATCATAATCTCCCGGTGTCTAGAATAAGCAGAATATCACTTCCAGCATGAAAGAAAGTGGGAGCGATCAATAGAACCCTGTTGAGCGAACATCCTTCGGGAAAACCACCTACGCTTGCTTTAATTAAAGTATAATTATGGAGTCGCTCGCTCCTTGTTTAGATTTTCTTCAGACGTTTTAGAGACGTAGAGAGTTTAATCTCGCGAGCTATGTACACATCAACTGGAGAAATTCCGCAACTACTGATTTAGGGAACGTTGATATAAACTGTGCGGTATCGCAGGAATTCTGTCTGATTAGGGACGAGTCATATACAGACTTATTTACAGGTTGTGGGAGTTCTCCAGAAAAATGGGAGAGGAGGGAAGAGATAAAAGGCCATGAGATTGATCTGTAAAAGTGTCGGAGTTTATATCAGAGAGATTAAAATTGTAGCAACATTTTTTAGATTGTGTACTTACATTTTTGAGGTCCATCGAGGGATTGAGCAACCTGAATATGAATATGGATGGCTGCACTCATTGCTCATCGGAGTGTGTGGGAAAATCATATGCTGTCTGGTAATTGGATCCCGGTGCGGAATAAAGTAGAACCTATTTTGCCCCAAAAAGGAGAATTGGGGGTAAGGTCAACAGAGGAACCCGTGAGAAAAGAAGATGCTTGAAGCCCAACTCCACTCAAAAACACCCTACTATCCCTTCCTCCCACCTCCTCTAAACTTTCTTGCCAGTTGTTTTTTTTTTTTCTTACCTGGCGAAGCAATTATGCTCACCCAATCTATGTCCCTCACCGGTGCTGCTTCTCTGGCGGGAACTGCTACTTGTGGTTCTACCAACATATGGTTTTGCTACCTTGCACAGCAAGCTTTGTTCCAGGACTGGGAGGTATAGATGTTGCTGGATTTTACCTGCTGGTTGATAGAGCATCTAAGGGGCCATCCTGTCAATCATCTTTGCTCTTTAGCTGTGCTTAGAACAACAATCCAGAGCAACAGGTAAATTTCCTAGCCTGACGATCCAGTCTGTGTTGTGTCTGTGAAGGTTCTCATTCATCCAGGTCATGGTATATATGTAAAAAAATAAATCAAGGCAACTGGACTTGCTGTATTTTTCTTGAAGATGTTTCACTGGTCATCTAACCAGCTTTTCTCAATTCAGAATGAAGCAGGTACGCCCACCAGATAAGTCCATCACTCCTGGCAGGATGCTCTGATACAGATCTGGTGGCGTATACTAAGACTTGCACCTCACTATGCAAACCTGCAGA